GCTTATGCCACTGAGCCATATCCCCAGCTTTAATTTTTAACTTTTACTTGTTAAAGAGAGTATAAAATAGTATAAAAAAAATTACAAATAATATAGAACTTCACTAAACAAAATAATATGAATTTCACAGTATTTGTTGTATTGCATAGTGTTGTCTTCAAATTAGTTGTTCATATTAACAGATATACGCAAGCAAAATTGGAAGAAGAAAGAAAAAAATAAGAAGAGAGAAAAAGGAAAAAGAATTGAAAAAAGAAGATAAAACAAGTTAAGGATTGACTGCTCCTTTCCATAGACCAGCAGAAATCCACTACAGTTGTCCAAACCATCCTGCTTACATACATAGATATATCTCTTTCCCTTACTCCCTCTCCTGTCCTTCTCCTCAACCCAGTTATTCCTTCCTTTTGAACAGGTTCATTTCCTTTTCCCAGTATCTACTGTACCCTTTAGATTTTATTTGCTCTTTCAGGTTCTTGCACTAAGGAGATAATATGATGTTTACACATGCAGGTTTGATGTATTTCACATTTGCATATGATCTCATATAGTTGCATCCATTTACTGATAAAAGCCTCAAGTTGGTTCTTTTTATAGCTGAATAGTACTCTAGTGTGTAAATATACCACATCTTCTTTATCCATTGCTCGGTTGATGGGTATTAGGATTGCTTCCACGATTTAGCTATGACAAATTTTGCATCTATAAACATGGATGTACATGTATCACTGTAGTATGAGGTTTTCAGTTTTTCTAGAAAAATACCCAGGAGAGGAATAGCTGGGTTGAATGAGACCTCCAATCCTTGTTTTCTGAGCAATTTCCATACAGATTTCCAGAGTGGTTGTACCAGTTTGCACTCCCACCAACAGTGGAGAAGGGTTCCTTTTTCCTCACAGCCCCTTCAGCATTTGTTATTGGTTGACTTCTTGATGATAGCCATTCTTTCTGAGGTGAGATGAAATCTCAATGTTGTTTTAATTTGCATTTCTTGAATGAACAATGATACTGAACATTTTTTCATATATTTACTTGCCATTTGTATTTCTTCATCTGAGAAGTGTATATTCATGTCAGATGCTCATTTTTGGATTGGTTGGCAGTATTTATCTTTTGTAAATTTTAACATTTTGGTAAGTTAAACTTGGGCTCATATGTAGTATAAGGAAATAAACTTATAATGTTGAGAGCTCCTGATATTACAACTCTCATGTAATAGGAGAGACCTAGGGATATGAGGACTTACCACTTAAGGCCATGTGGCTGGTTAGTGACACTAGGACTAGAACTTCTACCACTTAATCCAATTCTTTTCATTATTCTGTGCCATGATATTAGATTGTGTTCAGAGGGAATTTTTTAATTGACTAATTTTCTAACTTTAGCAATATTATATCTAAAATTTTTCAAATGATTTTAAGAATGTATATTTTTCCTTACCTGTGTTTTTCTTTCCCACCTGTGTGGTATTAGAGATAAAACCCAGGGTCTTTGACCAGTTACATCTTTAGCTCTTTTTATTTATTTTGTTACAGGGTCTTATTAAGTTGCTAAATTTCCCAGGCTGGTTTTGAACTTGTGCTTCTTCTCCTTAGGCTAAGAGTGCTGGCATTATAGGCGTGTAGCATGACACCTGCTTTTTATTTGTTTTAATAGCATATATAATTTTAGTCTAACTACAGGGAAAAAAAAGTAATGAGAATTCAAGTATATGCAAGTTGCTCGGACTATTACACTTAACATCCTTTTTCTTTTTGCCCCCTGCTTATTATCGAGACCAGTGGTGGCAAACCTGTGGCATGGATGCCACAGCCAGCTGGTTGATCGTTAAAAGCTCTAAAATGTTTGCCATCACTGGCCTAGACCACTGACTTTAAAAACATGCAAATACTTGGGGGTTGAGAGAACAAAAGAATCAAGATATATTATTTACAGCTGCAAATTCCCTATCATGAATGCGATTATTATGTGTATCTAAAATACACCAGCAAAATTAAAATGAAAGCTGTAACCAACTAGCTATGGAAGTTCCTTTGTGAAAAAGTATATTATATTTGGCAAAGTGCACATCTCCCCTAATGATTCCAGGCCTGAGAGCAAAAAGGCTTTAATTCCTTTTTTTTTTTCTTTATTTTAGGGAAGAGTCTACAGGGTGTTCAGGGTCTCACTACTAGATTGGACTTGTACTGATCCTCTCGTTTACAGCCTCCCAAGATCTGGGATTACAGGCGCATGCTACCATGCCCAGTCTCATTTGCCTATTCAGCGCACCCTGGGAGGGTGGGGTGGCTTGGCAGGCCTGAGGATTGAACCCCTGGCACCTGCATATCCATTGAGCTATTTGGTAGGCCCTAGGGCTTGCTTGCTTGCTTGCTTTCTTTCTTTTTTTCTTTCTTTCTTTCTTTCTTTCTTTCTTTCTTTCTTTCTTTCTTTCTTTCTTTCTTTCTTTTTTAGGGCTTCCTTTCTTTGTTTTGCAGAACCAGGGATTGAACTCAGGCCCTTGCACTTGCCAGGGAAGCGCTTATTCCACTGAGCCATCTCCCCAGCCCCTAAAGCTTTAATTCTTAATAAAATCTACCCTCCATTTCCATGCTGAGATGGGATTCAGAAATTTACTCTATCCGGGCATGGTGGCGCATACGTGTAATCCCAACACTTGGGAGGCTGAGACAAAGGGAACATTGAGAGTTTGAGACCAGCCTGGACTACAAAGTGAGCTCAAGGCCAGCTTGAGCTGCGAGACCCTGTCTCAGAAAGACAAAAAACAAACAAAAACAAAACAAAACAAGATAAAACAAAGGAAAATATTTAATAGAATACTTAAAGTATTTTGTAAAAAAACAAAAAAGCTTTAGAGTAAAATGTTATCCTCTGTGGAAAACTGTACCAACATTTTATGATTGTGTATAGACAAAGTATTAGCTTTCCCCATCCCCTCGAAATATTAAGTTTCATGCTCTGCCAACTGAGCTAGTTGGGCACTCTTTCAAAATTTTAAAATGGGGGCCGGGGAGATGGCTCGGTAGAGTAAGTGCTTGCTTGGCAAACACAAGGCCCTGAGTTTAATCCCTGGTTCTGCAAAAAAAAAAAAAAAAAAAATTTTTTTTTAAAGAGCTGGGAATGTAGCTCAGTGTGAAGGCCCTGGGTTTAATCCCCAGTGCCCACAAATACATGCATACAGACACACAGCATAAAAATAGTAACTCTTTATTACA